AAAACCGGGTAGCTAAATTTTACTAGTTTGAGATTAAGTTTAAATTCCCTGGCTGATGTTGGCTGGGAGCTGCCCTGAGTTCCTTGCCAAGTGGGCTTCTGCAGGGATCAGCTAGCCAGAAGGCATCCTGCTTCAGCAAAGCAAGCATGAGAGAAGAGTCTGAGAGAGGGACTATGAGGCTGAGGCAGGAATCAGGTTAAGCATGAAGTCTTTCTCGTAGATAATTTGCTTGGTCTAGCTAAGGAGCTATACTTTGGTCTTTAGTTTCAGGGTCCTCTCAACCCTCCACCCTCACTTTTTTTTTTTTTTTTGGTCATCTTGTAAGAATCCAACCCTCCGGGTCTCATCTCTAAAACCAAGCAATCCTCTTGGATGCACTAAAAGTGTAGTTTGTCTACCTGTGCCTGACAAGTAGAGGGGCTTTCTCCTTAAAAAAATTTTTTTATTTTAAAGATTTTATTTATTTATTTATTTGAGGGGGGAGAAAGCACGAGTGGGAAGAGGGGCAGAGGGAGAGGAACAGGCAGACTCCCCACGGAGGGGGCCTCAATCTGGGATCCCGACCTGAGCTGAAGGCAGACGCTTAACCGACTGAGCCACCCAGGCGCCCCTAAGGGTTTTCTTCAGCGAATGGAAACAGCCAGGAACTGGACCTCTCTTTCCAAAGACCAGCCTTTTTCTCCCTTCCCCTCCCTTAATCCAATCACGGAAACCCTTCAAACTTTCAACAGCGCCCGCCAGAATGATGTGATTTTCTCCTTAATCCTATCAGGCTCTGAGGCAATTGCAAGGCAAATCCTCCAAGTATTTGGATTGTCTTTTCCTACCTCCTAGACCCGCCAGAGCAGTATTAAAGGCCCCGCTCAGCGCCGGACTCCAGCGTTTGCCTCTTCTCCTAGACGGGCGGCGCGCCTTGCTCGCTCGGGACACCCAAGCTATGGATCCGCACCCGCCGACGCTGGAAGAGCTGTCTTGCTGGCGGGCACGTCCGGAGCCCCACGTGCCGCCGGGCCTGAGCCGAGAACAGGCCTGGGCCTGGGCGCTGGATAACTTCCCGGCGCTGAGCCGCCGCTCCTGCCAACACCCCCACTTCTGCGGGGACGGGAACAACTGTGCGTGCGGGTTGCTGCGCCACGCTTGGCCCGGGCACGGAGCTGCTCCCCGAGCTGAGAGGGGCCGGAAACACTGCCGAGACCCAGATGTCCCCGCTGAAACCGCGATGCAGCTGCAGTCACCGCAACAAGAGGTAGATGCGACAGGCAGCGCTGCCCACTGGGGCCTGAACCAGCCGGGGGATGCCCGCGCCAGCGGAGGGGGACAGACCCACGGCCAGATCGCCTCCAGGAGCCCAGGCCGCCCTCGGAAGCTGCTGAAAACCGGGGCTTAAAGCAGGGTGGAAGCCGGACAGGAAAGGAATTCCAGTCCACAGCACCCCTTCAAACCGATGCCCTGGAAGGAGCCTGCGACACCCTTTGGGGGCCCTCATTCTGTCTGTATGGACTTCTTCGACTTCTGCCGCCCCCTTCCCACCCCAAGGCCCCCCGCTGGCCCCGAGCCGAGTTGAGCCTTGAGGTCTTTAGAACCTTCCTTATTTGTTCTTTCCTTAATTACCTACAGGTGTTTCGATTAGAAAACATTCTTCATGTAATCAATGTCTTTAAAACTTTTCTTCTAGATCTACTGAGAATTGACACAATTCTTATCTAATCGCACATGCCGATGAAAGCCTTTTTTTCCTTATTCTCAGCCTGTGGATTTGATTTTGGGTGGGTGGTGTCACCACGGGAAGAGTATTGGTTGGGTTTGGGGCTGAAAGGCTTGCTGTGACCCAGATCAGAGCTCATTAAAATCAAAGAAATGCAAATTGAAACAATGACTATGGGGAGGAGATCGGTGGGAGGGGTCGATGGGTGAAATAGTCAAGAGTATTACGGGCACACTTAACAGTGATGAGCACTGAATAATATAGAGAGTTGTTGGATCGCTATATTATACACCTGAAGCTAATATAACACTATATTAATTATCCTGGAATTCAAATAATAAAAAACAAATTAAAACAATAGGATATAACTGACTACCACAGTGGCACACATTAAAGTTTTTCATTTTATCCAATGTTCGGAAACATATAGAAAGTAGTAACTCTCAGATACCCGTTTTCGGAATGAATTTGCAAAGCTCTTTGGAAAGGCAATCTGGCAATATTATAGAAAACATTTCAATGTGAGTATTCTTTTGGCCCAGAAATTCTTTTTCTTACAAGCAAGAAATTCTAGTTCAAAAACAAGCATGCTGAAAAGTAAAAACAGATTGGGAAAAAGAATCATGGTATATCTGTACAATCCCAAACTATGCAGCCCTTAGAAATAAAATGGAAGGCATGATTTTGAAAAGCTATCCTAGAGGCTGAATGTGCTATACAGGGACTCTGAACACTGGGAAGGTGGTGACCGTAGCAATGGGGCTAAGAGGGTGTAGTTCCAACCATTATGGGGAAGGAAGCACTGAGGTTCAGCCACCCAGGTAGGCTTAGAGAAAGGCTAAGTCTGGGGACACCCTATTGTAGTTCCTTCCACAACCACCTACGCTGGTGTTTTCTGGCATTTCTGAGTCATTCAGCCACCATCTGCCCTGTGGTATTAGGATCCAGGAGGCTAATGTTGGACCAGACAGGAACCCAAGGGTCAGCTCCAAGACAGGACAATCTGGGAGCTTTCTAACTTCTCATTGCACAAAGTCTCTGAGTCTCCATCATTTTGCTCCCCCATTCGGTAGCTCTCATTCCCATTCCCGGAGGGTGTGAAAATTGCTTCAGAAAGCCCAGCTTGGTGAGAGGAAGCACATAAATATACTCTTCCCAAAGACATTAAACAAAACTGAGTTGAATATGGTTTTGGTCAAGTCTGCGGATTGGGTCATGCTAGCGTTTGACAGTCATAGCTAGTTTACCAGCATTTTCTGAGAAGCAAAATAGAAAAAAAAATCTTCTAGGAAAGTTATTTTTCTCTTTTTCAGTGACATCTACCCTTTTTCTATTCAGAGAAACAGTAAGCATGCCAGCAAATAAATACATAAGACTTTTTTAGTATAATTGCTATCAAGAATTTTTATAAGTTCATTGAAAAGAAGGTAACTGGGAGGGTGCTATTTTACCTTAAAGAGTGAAAACAGAACTATTAGAGATACAGAAGTGTCCTTTCAACCCAAAACAGGACAATGTGATGAAAACACTATGCTGAATCTAGGGGAGCAGTTATTAAGAGACAATATCAAATTCAAGGATTCTGAGTCCAGAACATGATTAATACAGGGGCACCTGGGTGGCTCGGTAGGTGAAGTGTCTGCCTTTGGCTCGGGTCATGATCCCGGGATCGAAGCCCTCCTTGGGCTCCCTGCTCAGCTCCTTCTCCCTCTGCCGTCTGCTCTGCTTGTGTTCTCTCTCTGTCAAATAAATGGATAGAATCTTAAAAAAAAACAAAACAGAAACAAAAAAACACCAAGATTAATACAGTCATGGACAGAGGGAAGGCAAATGATGGCTTTCTGTGGCCCAAGGAAGATATATCTGGACCACAACAATCCTAGAGTCCTCCATCCAAGAGGACCTGCTAGCATGCAGTCATACTTGATAGTTTAAATGAAAGCCTGGATTTTTTAGTTCCTTTTGATTGAAAGATTTAATTACTGATAATAACACTGCTCAAATATATGATATTGACCTAATAAATGATGACATTGACCAGATATGTAACGAAGGGATTGATAAGGGAGATCTAACTGATAGTGTTCAAAGGTGTGTTCACATTGTTTTTCTTCATTTTCTCAGATTATATGACCCCCCCCCACATCAGCTGAGCTTTTAAGTTTCTAGGTATTGTGACCCTGTATTTCCCAGGTAGAATACAAAATAGAGTATAAGAGAAAAATGTTGTAAGTGGTTATTCAAGAAGACTTTCCAGACACTAGAGATCAGTAGAATTTTGATGGCAAAGTAACATTGTAATTTTAGACTGCATAAATTCAAGGTCCCTTAATAAATCATCTTCTGTCTTAGTCAGCAGTTTCTGTCTAGAGGAGTTAAAAGGAACTGGCGCTATGTTTTGTACAGTTTGGAGGGAGGGGCATGTGGGCTTGAGGGTTCTCAGTAGGTCTCTGCCTGGGTAGTAGGGCTTCCCACTGGGAACCCCTACTCTTGTGAGTTATAGGCACCCAGGCACATTCCTCTCTCTACAATACAAGCATCCACTCACTTTTCACACCTGGACAGATATATCCCTGCTACCTGGCATAGCAGAGCTGAAGCCAGCTTTTGGGGGTCACTGCTGAAGTAGCCCCAGTAATCACTTGCCAGTTGAGGTTGCTCCTGCTCTCAGTACCCATTACCTAGACACCTAGAGTCCATTTACGGCGATGCTTTACCTTTCTGTTTGCAAGAGTTCCCACTCTGTTTTCTAAATAATACTCTACATTGTCCTGTCCCAGTGCTTTCATAAAGCCACCTTTTTTATTTTTATTTTATTTCATTTTTATTTTTTAAAAGATTTTATTTATTTGACAGAGAGACAGCGAGAGCAGGAACACAAGCAGCAGGGGTGGGAGAAGGAGAAGCGGGCTTCCCGCGGAGCAGGGAGCCCGGTGCGGGGCGCGATCCCAGGACTCTGGGATCATGACCTGAGCCGAAGGCAGACGCTCAACGACTGAGCCACCCAGGTGCCCCTAAAACCACCTTTTTTACACCAAAAAATTATATATATTTTTTACCTCGTTTCTCTAAATTTGATGTTGCAATAAAGTGTGCAGGCTTATTTCTCTGCGTTTGTCACTGGATGAGGACTCCTTTGAAGCCACATTATTTTCCTAATATAAGAAATGTCCATCATTTTAATCTTCCTTTCCTGAAAAAAAGGTAAATTAAATAGATTGCATAGGCACTCATTAGCTTTGTGACTTTGGATGTGTCTCTCCAGGCATTAAGAAAGGGTGGACATTTGGTGCGATGAGATCGACCTAAGATGGCGACTGTGGAACCGAAAACCACCCCTACTCCTAATCCCCCGCCTACAGAAGACGAGAAAACAGAATCTAATCAGGAGGTTGCTAACCCAGAACACCATATTAAACATCCTTTACAGAACAGATGGGCACTCTGGTTTTTTAAAAATGATAAAAGCAAAACTTGGCAAGCAAACCTTCGGCTGATCTCTAAGTTTGATACTGTTGAAGACTCTTGGGCTCTGTACAACCACATCCAGTTGTCTAGTAATTTAATGCCAGGCTGTGACTACTCACTTTTTAAGGATGGTTTTGAGCCTATGTGGGAAGATGAGAAAAACAAACGAAGAGGACGATGGCTAATTACATTGAACAAGCAGCAGAGAGGAAGTGACCCGGATCGCTTTTGGCTAGAGACACTACTGTGCCTTATTGGAGAATCTTTTGATGACTACAGTGATGATGTATGTGGAGCTGTTGTTAATGTTAGAACTAAAGGTGATAAGATAGCAATATGGACTACTGAATGTGAAAACAGAGAGGCTGTTACACATAGAGGGAGGGTATACAAGGAAAGGTTAGGACTTCCTCCAAAGATAGTGATTGGTTATCAGTCCCATGCAGACACAGCTACTAAGAGCCGCTCCACCACTAAAAATAGGTTTGTTGTTTAAGAAGACACCTTCTGAGTATTCTCATAGGAGACTGCGTCAAGCAATGGAGATTTGGGAGCTGAACCAAAGCCTCTTCAAAAGCAGAGTGGACTGCATTTAAATTTGATTTCCATCTAAATGTTGCTAAGATATAAGAGAAGTCTCATTCGCCTTTGTCTCGTACTTCTGTGTTCATGGTTTTTTTTTTTTTTATTTTGGCTAGAGTGTCCACTATCCCAATCAGAGAATTACAGTACACATCATCCCCAGAATCCATAAATGTGTTCCTGGCCCACTCTGTAATAGCTTAGTAGAATTACCATTACAAACACATCTTACCCATCCACAATATTCAAAAAAGAACTTGCATTTCTATACCTTATAGGAAAAAAATTCTGTTTATGTTCCATTGCATGCAGGAGCATATTTTGCTGGTTTGAAAGAGTATGAAGCATACAGTTTTCTAGCAATTTTCTTTGTTTCCTTTTACAGCATTGTCTTTGCTGTACTCTTGCTGATGGCCGCTAGATTTTAATTTATTTGTTTCCCTACTTGATAACATTAGTGATTCTGATTTCAGTTTTTCATTTGTTTTGCTTTTGTTTTTTTCCTCATGTAACATTGGTGAAGGATCCAGGAATATGACACAAAGGTGGAATAAACATTAATTTTGTGCATTCTTTGGTAATATTTTTGGTTTTTTGTAACTACAAAACTTTGCTACAAATTTATGCATTTCATTCAAATCAGTGATCTATGTTTGTGTGATTTCCTAAACATAATTGTGGATTATAAAAAGTGTAACATCATAATTACATTCCTAATTAGAATTAGTATGTCTGTTTTTGTATCTTTATGCTGTATTTTAACACTTTGTATTACTTAGGTTATTTTGCTTTGGTTAAAAAATGGCTCAAGTAGAAAAGCGGTCCCATTCATATTAAGACAGTGTACAAAACTGTAAATAAAATGTGTACAGTGAATTGTCTTTTAGACAAAAAAAAAGAATGGGTGGACATTTGCATTGTAGAGAGTGGGCAGTGCCTGGGTGACTATAACACACAGAGGCGTGGGCTTTCCCAACGAGGAGCCACATTACTCAGACAAATATTTGCTGAGCAGCCCCTCACACTGAAATATTAAATTCTGCAACACTACCATTTTCTTACCTATAAAATGCACTTAAAATCTATTTTATGTAAATTTTTTAGAGAGGGGAAGAGGGGCAGAGGGAGAAGAAGGGAGAGAATCTCAAGCAGGCTCCATGCCCAGCACAGAGCCTGGCACAGGGCTCGATCCCATCACCTGGAGACCAAGACCCGAAAGAAATCGAGAGTCAGTTGCTTAACTGACTGACCCACCAAGGCTCCCCAAAATGCACTTAATAATAGCACCTAATTAAGCAGGATAATATAAATAAAACTCTTAATATAATGCCGATCATATAGGAAGTTTTTAGTGAATATTAGCTATTACAATTTAAAGGTAAAGTGAATGGGCATTAGAATCCTTTTATTTCTTTCTTAATTATTTCTAAACATTTTCACTATCGAAATAATATATTTTTAAATGAATAGGACAGTAAGGCGTCAAGTGAAAATAGAACTCCTTCTCCCAAACTCTCAACTGATAGGTAACCACTATGGATATATTTTGGAGTGTATTTACAGTTTTATACAAATGCAAACACATCAATACAAATGAAATGTACAAAAATCATTCCCCTCCAAAAAATCATATTACACACATAGAGCAATAACTTAATTTGTCAGTTATTACTATTTTGGACACCTTTCTTTATTCAAAGTTCCTGTTTTCTATTTAAAGCAGCATAGCAATCCAATTTATGGACTATGCTCCAGCATAAGCTGCTAGAACAAAAATTATCGTGTGAAAAAAGTCAACTTTGCCAAAAGTAGTAATATTCTCATAGTTTTGATGCTTAATAGTGGTCTATAGTGCACTACTGTGGGAGTCACCATCCAACCCCTCCTCCATTTTGACAACTGCTCCCTTCTTCCCCATCCACATGTCTGCAGGAGTAGACAAGTTAATGTTTAACCCTTGTGTTAACTGGGTACTGGGTATTGGCCTAGCTCTCGGCATCTTAACGAAGCTGAGCCCCTAAGTCCCTACCCTGGGTTTTGCAACTGGGACTTAGAATTTGATCATACCATGGATTCCAAGTGTCAGTTTTCTTCCCAGTTTATTGTTACCTATGTCAAGTCTATGTGCAAAGGGGTTTTCTCATCTCTTCCTGTATTGTCCACACAGCCATTACATCACAATCCTCACTGTGGTCCACCCCAATATTCCCAGCTCCTCTGTAAACAAACTTCACATCATTGCTGCTCACCCTCTGTGTGGCAGGACATAGTCACCCTAATAGCAGACTGCTGTCTGTGGGCTGGTACCAACAAAAGGTTACTCTCTTTCAGGATGCATTTCCTTACTACCCCTTCTTTATTCCCACCGAGTGTGAGCATCATTACATGAGGTTGAAGTCAAACAGCTGTATCAGTTTTTACAAAAGGATTGCAGGAAATCACAATATAAAATGGGAGAAAATTAAACTGAATATTAACAAAAGTTATCATTGCTGAGAGTACCCTATGATCCTCCAGAGAAAATGAACCTCTTTAGAAGTAGTCTATTGATAGGGCACAAAAAGGGTTCAAATTGGAATCAGAACATTTACTGATTCTGCACAATGACTAGTGCTAAGCAGATATCCTGCCATCTCTGCATCATAACCTCCCCCTCCTTAAGGAAGGTGGGCCCACTGCTGTCACCAACTTGTGCACTTTGTGTGAGAGACACTACTGTTTGTGGTTTTCCCCCTTAAGGAGCCTGCATTTTATCAGACTGCTTTCTCAAAAGCAAAAAGATTAGCAATAAGAAGACAATCAATAGGCAAGGCCTCCTCCTCGTTCTAAGACTAGAACCCCAAACCCTTGAAAAAGGACGAAGTTTTCCTTCCTAGCATGAAGTCAACCACTATAGGGAATAAGAGTTGGCGTATCCTCATGGTTTCTTGCCTGTGACTCTGTTCTCCCCCTAAAATGTGAGCTCTGCAAAAGCAGGAGCCAGTTCTTCAATTATGCATGTGCAGGACCAATCACAGCATCTTGCTCATGGCAGGTGATCAAAACATGCTTGTTAAGCCCTTTGAATTAAACTGACTTTGTTACATTGAAGATAAATGTCTGATCAAGGAAATGGAGGCATGGATGCACTGACAAATTTACCAACAGAAGGGCTGAAACTTTTGAGGAAGGATGTAATAGGACACAATTTCACTAGAGATATTATACAAGGAGGAAAAAGCAATCCACCAAGAGTAAATACAAGCAAAAAGACATTTTATATTTTTTTCATTGATGTTATATTTATATCAATGGCCATATCACCAATAATGACACTGAAAATAATAATTGTTAACAGAATAACTTAAAAAAAAAGATCAACTTGTTTTCTGCCAGGGGTATCTAATTACTTAGACTTTGTTATCAATTTAATCATAAAGACTACCTTATAAAATACTAAGTTTTATCTCCAATACACAGATGAAAATATGTGGACTAGAGAGGCTAGGAATTAGCTGAGTGTCACATACATAGAAATGATGGAGGGGCGCCTGGGTGGCTCCGTTGGTTAAGCATCTTCCTTGGGCTCAGGTCTGGATCTCCCAGTCCTGGAATCCAAACCTGGCTCGGCTCCCTGCTGATCGGGGAGTCTGCTTCTCCCTCTCCCTCTGACCCTCCCTTTAGATCATGCTCTCTCCCTCTCTCTCAAATAAATGAAATCTCAAAAGAAGAAAAAAATGATGGACCGAACTTGAACAGAAAGTGTGAATCTGGATCCCTAGACCTTGACCCCTCCCCATCATACATGTTGGCTGAAATTCTGAAGCTCTTTTAACTTAGAAACAGATAAATACAAGGTCAGGGTGTGAGTCTGACGTCTACCACTAACTAGCAGCGTGATTTCATACAGAGATGGCCACTTCTCACTCTGTTCATCTGGGTAAAAATCTGCTGGTATGTTCCAAGCAGGCCATGAAAATCAATGGATGTAAAGTTACCTAAAAGTGTCAGGCACATAGGATTTTTTAAATAAAAGAGCTTGTCTTGACCCAGCCCCTCTACCTGAAGTTTCTTTTAAACCAATCTTTAGGGGCGCTTGCGCAGCTCAGTAACTTAAGCGTCTGCCTTCCGCTCAGATCGTGATCCCAGGATCCTGAAATCGAGTCCCCTGTCAGGATCGCAGCTCGGTGAGGAGTCGCTTCTCCCTCTCTCTGCCCCTCCCCCCGCTCGTGCTCTCTCTCTAATAAATAAAATCTTAAGAAAAAAAATCTTTAATCTTATCATTCAACAAAGTACAATTTTGGATAACGCCCCACCAGATGATTGGATTTTCCCTTAATTTCATCAGGCTCCGTCTTCTGAAGCAATTTACACCTTAGGAAACGTCACCACCCAGCTTAATATCCTCTCCGCCAGCCCGGTCCTTAGAGCCCAGGGGAATATAAATAGGCAGGGAAGGAGAGTCCCCCGAGACGCTCCCTCCGCTCAGCCGCTGAAGCGATGGAGCAGAACTCTCCGCGCTGTGTGCGCGGGGCCTGGGATCCCGCCGAGCGGGGGCAGGGACCAAGCACGCTGCCAGCCTTGAGCTCTGAGGACTCCGGGCCCTGGCCGCTCCTTTTCTATCCTGAGCTCGGCCAACTCGCTTGGGACGACGAGGTCTTCAACCAGGAGCTGCTTTGTAGGCCCTGCGGGCTTCTGAGCCGATACTGCGGGAGACACCGAGCCAGAAGCAGATCGCCTCGAGGCAGGGGGCAGAGCCCCCAGCCCTCATCTCAAAGCCCCACGACCCGCAAGCACCCGGAGGAGCCCGGCGGCAGAGCCCGGTGCCGGCCGCCCCCGCAGGCCTTTCCGCCGGCGTCGCCTGCGGACTCTTCAGAGCATTGTCTTCCTCCTGCCAGAGGAGCCACCCCTCGGCTTTCGAAGGCTGCGGGGATTGGGTCCCGCACGCTGTGGCCTGGGTCCCCGGGGCCGCCGCCGCCGCCGCCGCCGCCTGGAGCGCCCGCCCCTCCCCCCAGACTTCCTCTGCGCGCATTCACGGCAGGATTCTCTTGGAACAACGATGCTGCAGTGATCCGTTATAATTAATTGATCAGTGTGAATTTGGCCTTCATAGACGTTGGGAGATTTTCTTTTTGCTTTCTTAATAAAATTATACGAAAATGCTCAAATCCTTATTTCTGACTCATGTTCCTGGTTGGCTGTTGGGGAAGGATGAGGCGCCGGAGCGGGAGAGGCCTATGCCGGTCCCCGCGCGGGGACCCTGGGTTGCCTGGTTTGCTGTGCACCGGGAGGGCGGTGCGGTCTCCCGCGCACACGGATGCCCAGCCGGGTGGGAGGTTGTCAGACTTGCTCTCGCTCGCTGGACTTCCAGGAGATGCAGCACGCCGGCAGCCAGCGGCCCGAACTCCAAATGGGGGCGGGGGGCTTAGTGCCCGTGCTCCGTGGCCCTGGCCCTTCTTCGCTCACTGGATTCCGTCTCCGGAAGTCTCCTGGCATCTGCGCATTGCTCCAGCGCACGTTCCCACCCCCAAACTCACCTGTTAGCTTAGGCCTCCAATGCGTCCAGAATTTCTCTCGCCCTCAGGAACTTCCCAGGAAGCTTCTTCCCTTCTGCTTCGAAATCCCTAGAACCCGGGTTTCCCGCGCGCTCACTGCAATTGCGCTGGGCGGCTGGGAGGAGCTGGAGCGCAGTGTTGCCAACGTACTTGGGAAAACCAGCGAATTGTCTTTGGCAGTGTGGGGTTTATACGCCTAGATTCCGGACTAGGCATGCTTGCTTCCAATTCCCACTCCAACTTGGTGAGTTTCCAAGACGCCTTACTTCTCCAAAGAAACGGGAAGTTGATTAGAGTATCCACAACATGCGGAGGTGGAAGGGCAACAATGTCCCGCATCGTGTAAATGCTC